CTCTGTACATACATTGTATCCCCATACATACTGTCTTCGTAGAAAAGTTGCATGTCCTTTAAATATGCTGCATGCTACATATCCACGTTGTAAATTATTGATATATAATTTCATTCATTCCGTTAACGTGTACATATTTTGTTATTAACATTCAATATCTGTTCAGAGAACCCAATATATAATTATAGATTCCAAGTTCGATACCGTTTTGATTCAGGTGTGATCTTACGTAACAACAAGGGAACTTGAATTGCAATAACTCAAGGATGATTGTTTAAACGTTTTGCTGATGACACTTCTCTGTATGTTATTATAGATAATAACCCAGCACAGGCCGCACAATCTCTCAACACTGATCTTATTAACATAGGTGAATGGGCAACAACATGGGACATTAAGTTCAATCCCAGTAAAACAAAATCACTAATATTTTCTAGAAAACAAGACACCCATCACATCCCATTATTTTTCCAAAATAGCCAAATCATAGACACATCATCACATCAACACTTAGGACTTACACTTTAAGATGATGCAACATTGAAACAGCACATACATAATGTATTCAAAAAAGCTTACAATAGACTTAATATTCTTCGCCATGTCAAAACTACAGTCAATAGAAAATCATTAAGTAAAATATATGTGGGATTTATTAAGCCAATTTTGGAATATGCAAATATTATTTGGGATAATTGTACACAACAGGCAAAAGTTGTTCTTGAATCTGTACAATTAGAAGCAGCTAGGATAATAACAGGTCTTCGTTCTGGGGTATCACATGACAAACTATACAATGAACTGATGTACAAAATTATGCATTGGCAGACACTTCAATACTTACAAAATGTTTTAAATCCCTTTATTAATAATCAAAATGATAACCCCTACCCTCTCAGACAAACTCAGCTTTTCAACCCACCGTTATGTAGAACTAATAACTATTTCGACAGTTTTTTCCCTCAAATGTGCCGCACAATTAACACCGCAAATTCTGATCTTCTTAATTCTCCCTCTCCTGCAGCATTACAAAAATATTTGAATAAAGATATTATTTCTGATAGTGAATCTGTTTCAATTTTCAAAACAGAAGGTAACAAAAGAGCAAGTATTATTCTATGTCAACTTCGAAACTCTTGCAGTAATTTAAATTATGATTTACACCATGACCATCTTACTAATAGTCCAGCTTGTACCTGCTCTGCTGAACATGAAACAGTATCTCATTACTTTTTGGAATGCCCTATTTTTAATAATCAAAGAACTAATTTGTTCACTTCTCTTAATAGTTATGGAAACCACAATCACATTGATATGAAAATTCTTCTCCAGGGCTGTCCTGATTGTGATTGGCTTACAAATAGACGAATACTTGATGATGTGCCTATTTCTATTGGAAAAATCCCGGCGTTTTAAGTTTTATATGACTTAAAACCATGATGTTAAACAAAAATATACTATATATTCTGTATTACATCCAGGGGATTCTAGTTGAGCATGACTACTGTCTATTGCGTGTACTTATCATGACATTGTAAATATTTACACCCTATATGTATTAAATGAATTTATAGTTTTTAATTGTAACAGTTGTTGGTAGCAGTGACCTGTGCAATATATGCACATGGACTTTTGGTCTAAGCCTGCCAAATCTGTCTAGGATAGTGTATATATATGCTGAAATAAACGTATTTGTACATGTACTTGTATGTGTGTGTAAGTTTGTATGAGGTATGTGAGATGTTTCCTTCATGAGTTACTTCCCCTAAGCCTTGTGCTAATATGAATTATTTTGTGTTAATTTTTTCATTTGCAACATGTCTAAAATATTATGTCTCATTGTTTATTCCACTTTGGCCATTTGACGGAGATAATTCATATAGGCTTTGCCTGTTATTCTATCCAATTGACTATGACATCTTGTCAATAAAATTTGATGAAATGATCATTGATTAAAGTACTTTGATAATACGAGGCCAGGGAACTTTGATTCAACTAGACAGAGGAACTTTGATTATACGAGGCCAAAGTAATTTGATTATACGAGGCCAAAGTACTTTGATTATACGAGGCCAAATAACTTTGTTTATACTGTAGACTCTTCTTTATATAGGTTAATAGGCACTGATACTGTGTATGTTTTGTTAATATATCGATGAACACAGAGAAAAAAGTAATTGCACTGGTGGTACGTGGCAATACAAATTACAATAATCATGTGTTGTCCAATGCAAATGAAATAGTATTCTACCATATAAGATATATTCAATTATTTCGTGATCATTTTACTGTATTTAATTATTCCATATTTAATTGTGTATTGTTTTTCAATTTGTATGTACTGCATACATATTATAATTTAATCCACATTTACGTTACCATATTTAAACGTTGGTTGTTCCAATATATGTTTGTGTTTCAGTATTTATTGAATGATTAAAACCACTTTTATTTCCTGGTTTTTTTTACACATTTTATTGTCCTTGCCAATATATAGAGTTTCAGGATTGGAGCCCTGAGTTGACTCCCTTTACATCATACAGTAGGTATATACAGTAATACAAATTTACTGTCAAGGAAGGGATGCTGTATGTCTGCTGCTATTAGAGTAAGGTTATTCCCTGTTGATAAGTATATTATACCGACTTCCACGTCACTTTTTCGATATCCGTGTTACTTCACTCGCAAAAACGTCTGTCTTCACTGGTTCTTTATAATGCAGACTAAGTTGAAATACTTAAGAAGAATCTAACTAGACGATTGTTTTTGTTGTTGTTGTTGTTGTTGTTGTTGTTGTTGTTGTTGTTGTTTATTTTGCATTGTTCCATTAAACCTAAGCAACACGTACTATTTTTTATAACCGTTAAACGATTTTTACTCTTTACTGTATGATTACATTAGAACAGGTCATTTACCATACATTTTGTGATTGTAGTTTAAGCCAAGATAAACGTCATACACATAGGTGATTGCACGTGTAAAATTTTGTTATAATACAGTATGCCACAAATTAGTCACACTGCATCATACAGCTGCTCGTCCTTCCTGCACTCATCGATGATTCTATGGACCAAAAGTTGAAAAAACAGGGGTATGTAGGTAAAACCCCTTAATTTATGAATTTACTAACTAGAGGACTACTGGTTATTTTCAAATCAATCATTTTCAAAGTGTATATATTATCATCTACCACAAAATGTTTAATTTATTTCCTGTGATTAACTAGTGTTGCATTTATTGTGAAAGTTGAAATTTGAATGATGTGAATTTTCGTATAAGAAAATATTGCCAACACACAAGGAAACAAATCTTAAATAAAACTGAGGTGACACCAAAACTAAATGAAAGACATCATGAAGCCTCTAAAATAACATGGAGGAGAAATCTGGCGCCCACTCCACATCATAAGTATTGGGCATCATTTCTTGTATCAGAGGAGACAATCCGAAGTATAAAATTATGTGATTAACTTTAATACATTTAGCGGCATACAGACACCTAAGTATCGTTTTGTATTGATTTATTTTCATTTTTATAATTAGTCATCAAGACAATCACAAATAAGAAAATATGTGAATACAACTGGTTATAAAAAATATTTCTAAATATACTTGAACCAGATTGTTTCTAACTGTGCTTTGTATTTTTGTTAGATATACACTAATATACATGGGTTCCTTTGATAACATATGATCATATGACTTACGTGATATAAAGATAACTGTTATTGATAGTAGAACGAGGTACTGCTCTGACTCATATCTTTATTGTAGATGTATCTCGTCTATACGTGTGCTGACCTTGGCCTGTCGTTATAATTTAATTGTAGATGTATCTCGTCTATACCTGTGCTGACCTTGGCCTGTCGTTATAATTTAATTGTAGATGTATCTCGTCTATACGTGTGCTGACCTTGGCCTGTCGTTATAATTTAATTGTAGATGTATCTCGTCTATACGTGTGCTGACCTTGGCCTGTCGTTATAATTTAATTGTAGATGTATCTCGTCTATACGTGTGCTGACCTTGGCCTGTCGTTATGATTTATCTAGGCCATGTCTCACCTCTCAACGACATTTTGTTTGAATTAAAATTTGTAGATAAAAATCCTTGTCAACGAGGTCAAGCCTGATTCAGATAATCAGAACAGTAATTTCCGTTTTTGTCCTCATGTTAGTTTTATACCACACGATGATATTTATACATATACTCGTGTTTACACATTATTCTGCTATAAAAAATAAAGATCATTGTGTGGTATAAACACTAATATGAAAGTATGATGTTCTTATAAAGCTGCGTTTTCTACATGTATCTATTTTCTTCTGTGAATAATTAAAGTTAAACATTTACTGATCATATACTCTAGTTTACATAATGCATTAGTCAACTGTTATAGTTTTATCACCATATGCTTATAAATAAGGTCTTATATCATTTCACTTGATGTCATGTATATGATAAGTGTCATTGAATAACTATTTTGTACGCGCAGTACACGACAGAAATAATATTGTATGTACAGATGCAGATTTTTTCTCGATCACGCTAGTCAGAGACAGGTTCGTTAACGTTTTCTCGTCAGGTTGTATTGCCTCATGGCGAGAGCACGACGTACTATTTTAACAAGGAAAGCTAGTCAGTGAAAGTAATTTCGAGGCCGATTGAAAATACATTAATGACAATGGATGTGTATATAGAACCCGTGTATGTAGTGTAATCCTGTCCATGTGGGTTTAACATTGCATAAATTGTAAATAGCGCATCCGCTATTAATCTCATTGTTATAGCGGTAATATGACTTCTCTTTCACTAAAATGGGAATCCCTAAGTAAGTTTTATAAATAGGGATTCTCGAAGTGATTTTTGTATTGACAAGGTACAACACAAGAAATATTCGATTAATTCTTCTTGTGTCGTAATCGCAAATAAACAAATCAATGACAAATAACAAAATAAAACAAAAATACCATTGTATTCAATTGGTGTTATAAAGCCTTTATTTATATCATCATACGTCCGTTTGAATCAACACACTAGTACACAAAGCGCTATACAGGTATTTCAGGATTTAGTTGCAAGCTAGAGTTGAACATGCTAGAGTTGAACAAGCTAGAGTTGAACAAACTATTTTGACCGCCACCATTATAAAAAAATACACAAACAGAAGTATTGGTTAAATCCTTCATAGATTTTGATACTCAGCCTTCAGCTAACAACTAGTTCTATATAAATAACTGTTGATATCACACCGTCACAGTATGGAATATAACTGTTTGAATACGTTTACTTTCGTGGGTGGTTAACAGTCTACGACGTTCTAGGATGTTTATCACACCACACAGACTAGCAAAACGAGCACTTGAAAAACAATATTACAAAATTATCTTATAATGAACCATCCCGTTTACGTAAATCATCTGTTATGATATTGTAGACATAATAGGTGCATTAACTACATTATTGGTTTTAGATTAGCCGATACTTTGACATGAGCACCTTCGCAAGTTCATAATCTCAGAAAGTTTTTATCATATATATTAAGAATACCCTCTTCATTACTTGTAATTCAACACACTTTGGATTACAAACGTAATGTATTATAACTACTCTTATACATGCTCGTAACCATTTCTAATTTCTTCTTTTCTAAACAAAGTCTCATGGCTTCATTTCTATCCCATGAAGAGCCGATGGAACCGCGGAGACAATGCTCTTCTTCCCATTGGGTTGTGCTATGAAACGAATAAAACATACAAACATCATAAATGGGCAAGACAGAAACACACTATTATTGTATGCCCAAAGTTCATTGGTATTTTTATATTTGTATATGATACAGATGTAAATATTCTCTCTTTCTACCAAATATAACAATACAACTACAACACGCAGACAACTTCTTAATCAAATGTCGATGAAAAAGAAACAGGAATGGATGAAACACTAAAGCAATAATCCCGATAATGTAACTCCTGAGGAAGGAAAGGTTACAATAGTACGATTAATACATTTTTACGTTTGTGTAATTGCAGAAACATCAAGATAAGAGGTATTTCAACTTTTTGAGAATAACTATGACGCATGCAGGTATAAATATTCTTGCTATACAATGAAAAATTGTATGAGGATATATATGACCCAGCTTACCTGTGACGTTATATCTCTGTATGACCCAGCTTACCTGTGACGTTATATCTCTGTATGACCCAGCTTACATGTGACGTAATTTCTCTGTATGATCAAGCATATCTGTGACGTTATATCTCTGTATGACCCAGCTTACCTGTGACGTTATATCTCTGTATGACCCAGCTTACCTGTGACGTTATATCTCTGTATGACCCAGCTTACCCGTGACGTAATTTCTCTGTATGGCCCAGCTTTTCTGTGACGTTATCTCTGTATGATCCAGCTTACCTGTACCTGTACGATCATGCTTACCGATTGTGTTATCTTATTATCAAGCTTATCTGTAAGATTACCTGTATGAGCAAGCTTACCCCTGGCGTTATTTGTACAATCCAGTTTACCTTTGGCGTTACCTGTATGATCTAGCTTACCTGTGGCGTTTTCTGTATGATTCAGGTTACCTGTGACGTTATATGTATGATCCAGCTTACCTGTGACGATTTGGCATTCGCACAAAACGAAGGCAGGATGAAAACACTGCGGTCTGAAAGATCTTGTGGGTCCACGAATTCGTAGTTGACTATCAGTCCACTCGCGCGATCGGTGTCTTCGTCTTGGATGTTATAACGAATAGGTGGACAGACATTTCCTGAATATATTATAAGGATACAATGATATGTTAGAAGTCAGTGCCTGCTAACATTATAGATACTATGATGTTTGCTGACAGATCATGCAAGTATTATAAAGATGCAATACTCTATTGACAGCCAGATCCTGTAAGTATAACAAAGGACAATGATAAGTAGCCACACAGATCATATAAATATTATAGAAACTGTTCTTAATGTCAAAACGTACCTACGTTAACGTCTAGTGTTAGGATGACGTCAGCGTACAGTTCCTTCCTGATCAATGTGAAGTGTTCTGTGATCTGCTGAAAGTCCCCTACACCACCATGCCAGTCCGAGTGGGCGTCCACTGTTAACGTACCATTATCATGTTAAACACTATCGCATGTTCCTCACCCAGAGAGTTGTTCTCATGGGTTTGGCAGCTCGAGTTTTATATCAGGAAACAAATCCACACGTGATCAACAGCGTGAATAGAAGTGTTTACAATTACTTATATTATCTTGTTTATGAACAACAATTTCACAAATTACACATTTAGATACCTGTTAAAATGTCTTGCTCAATATACAAATTTTCTTTAGCAAGCGTAGCACCTTTTTTTGAAGGAAGACATTGTGATACAAAATTTTACATTTTCTTCTTTTTGAAATATAACATAAATGTTTGCATGGTATACAAATGAAGCTGATAGTTTCCTAATCAAAATAAATTGTTCAAGAGAAACATAATAATAAATCTTTATTAAAAATCAAATGAACCAACCCGACCACATATATTTAATGTTCTTTATAGATACAAATCGTATCTGAACTCTTGGTATTGATATTTTCATGAAATAGGTCATAAATGTACACTGTTATCTATTTCGATATGCGTAGATTGTAATTATGTACCATGTAATATAAGTTGGCATGTACATCTGTTATTCAGCTAAACAAGTACCGCATTATTTACTTTACTGATCCAGCGTGGAAAATGTTAATAGTACATTGACCATATAGATAAACTAATATATAAAACCCCATAATAATACACGCACATGGCACACCATTCCATGGGTTCCATATGTAGTCGCTATCCTTTTCCTTGGTACAGGTGTGGTTGTCGTAATCAATGGTGTATACTGTACTCTGTAATACATATATACAGAATATGTTATTTAGTGATTATAACACAAGAATCATCAATTATATCGTATAGTCTGATTTTTTTTATACCACGGCTCTAAATTTCAGCGAGTTATATTTTATGATCACGTGCTTGTATATTAGCCATCAGTCATTCACACAAGTTGGCATATTCGGTGTTTCCCATAGCCTTTATACATTGTATTAGAAAGACACTTAAAACATAGACCTTTGATGCAATCGAGAGAAAACATAATTCTATGTTAAACATGATGTCTTATGTGAAATTATCAAAGGAAATACTCGAGAAGCTAAAAATCTATTGTTGTTATTGGAGCTACACCATTAAAGTACATGTCTCACTTGCTTGTAATATCTCAAAGTCTGCGTGAAAGGTTTGAGGACATTAAAAGAGTTTAGACTTGGCCAAACCATTGTTGTATAGAGGCAAAGTAGCTCTTGCTTACATGCACACAACTGATCGTGTGTTAAGAAAGTATCATTTTCGACTATTTCATGTATTCATAACTAAACAATACTCGTTTGAGTGGTTCACATATGTTTTTATTCCTTACCTCATTGAAATGCCAGATATAGGTATTTTAGAGCCGCACGTTACCTAGTGATGCCTGGAGTTTGAGGTCAAATCTCATCTGTTGACTGGGATAGTCGTAGTAATACGTCCCAGTACCGTTCATCACTTCTGGTATCGACATGAGCACCTCACCAGATTCAAAGAAAACCTTGCTTTGCCATGATGGCGGAAATGTACAATGCACACCAATCTCATTTTGCAGTAGTGCTGTTGTTATTGAAAGCATCGACAGGAACAGCAATGATTTGATGAAAGCGTCCATGTTTGTACGCTATCTGAATTGTTTAGCCTATCACTGAGTTATCGTTAAATTTAATACGTAAGTACAGTATGAGAGGTTGTAGGGTATTTGCTGACAATCAGATTAAACACTTCGAGATATAAAATATAAAATGATAGTTCATTGATAAAAGTGTACCGATAAACTTTAATCAAATTTTCTTGGATTAATGTATACAATATACATAAAAAAACCTTCGACTTTCCTGTATTCCGTTGACAGCAATTCTGGTGACCAGCACTCTTGTCTTTTCTTGGCGTCAGGTAAAGAAGTAAAACATATGTAATGATGATATTGCCTTCATTACATATCTTAAAGTAAGAGACCCCATGCTAAACTGGTGAAATAAACGATATCATTCGTCTTCTATATGATGTATTATAATCTGATTATTCCACGTTTCTGTTTTACGCAAAAAGATGGTGGACTCTACTGGTTGACTCTGCTGGTGGACTACCACTTTTGCCGAAACCGTGTAGCTGGAATTGTTCTGGCACTGTTGACATAAAATTGCAGTGTAAGAATATGCTATCTGTTGTAGAGAAAAGTTGAACACTTGTAACGTTATAAAGGGTTAACAAATGTATGGGCATCTTTTAATGTTCTCTGTGGTGTACCGATATATTTCGGAACACACCTTAATCGATGAAGTGGCCATACGGCACAGTATAATCTTTACATTGTTTGGCTGTCGTCGTCGCCAAGGTACCCGTTCGATAGAGGTTTCCTTACTCAGAATTATTTTACGTTATGATGCCGTTATCTGAGTACGTATACTTGGTATTGTATTACCTATTTATAGAATTATTCTACCTTATGATGCCGTTATCTGAGTACGTATACTTTGTATTGTATTACCTATTTACAGAATTATTCTACGTTATGATGCCGTTATCTGAGTACGTATACTTGGTATTGTATTACCATTTACAGAACTATTCTACGTTATGATGCCGTTATCTGAGTACGTATTTGGTATTGTATTACCTATTTACAGAATGNAGTGATTATAACACAAGAATCATCAATTATATCGTATAGTCTGATTTTTTTTATACCACGGCTCTAAATTTCAGCGAGTTATATTTTATGATCACGTGCTTGTATATTAGCCATCAGTCATTCACACAAGTTGGCATATTCGGTGTTTCCCATAGCCTTTATACATTGTATTAGAAAGACACTTAAAACATAGACCTTTGATGCAATCGAGAGAAAACATAATTCTATGTTAAACATGATGTCTTATGTGAAATTATCAAAGGAAATACTCGAGAAGCTAAAAATCTATTGTTGTTATTGGAGCTACACCATTAAAGTACATGTCTCACTTGCTTGTAATATATCAAAGTCTGCGTCAAAGGTATGAGGAAATTGAAAGAGTTTAGACTTGGCCAAACCATTGTTGTATAGAGGCAAAGTAGCTCTTGCTTACATGCACACAACTGATCGTGTGTTAAGAAAGTATCATTTTCGACTATTTCATGTATTCATAACTAAACAATACTCGTTTGAGTGGTTCACATATGTTTTTATTCCTTACCTCATTGAAATGCCAGATATAGGTATTTGAGAGCCGCACGTTGCCTAGTGATGCCTGGAGTTTGAGGTCAAATCTCATCTGTTGACTGGGATAGTCGTAGTAATACGTCCCAGTACCGTTCATCACTTCTGGTATCGACATGAGCACCTCACCAGATTCAAAGAAAACCTTGCTTTGCCATGATGGCGGAAATGTACAATGCACACCAATATCATTTTGCAGTAGTGCTGATGTTATTGAAAGCATCGACAGGAACAGCAAACATTTGATGAAAGCGTCCATGTTTGTACGCTATCTGAATTGTTTAGCCTATCACTGAGTTATCGTTAAATTTAATACGTAGGTACAGTATGAGAGGTTGTAGGGTATTTTGCTGACAATCAGATTAAACACTTCGAGATATAAAATATAGAATGATAGTTCATTGATAAAAGTGTACCGATAAACTTTAATCATTTTTTTTCTTGGAGTAAAATATACAATATTCATAAAAAACCCTTCGACTTTCATGTATTCCGTTGACAGCATTTCTGGTGACCAGCACTTTCGTCTTTTCTTGGCGTCAGGTAGAGAAGTAAAACATATGTAATGATGATATTACCTTCATTACATATCTTAAAGTAAGAGACCCCATGCTAAACTGGTGAAATAATGAATTATAATCTGATTATTCCATGTTTATGTTTTACGCAAAAAGATGGTGGGCACTGCTGGTTGACTCTGCTGATGGACTACCACTTTTGCCGAAACCGTGTAGCTGGAATTGTTCTGGCACTGCTGACATAAAATTGCAGTTTAAGGATATGCTACACTGTATCTGTTGTAGAGAAAAGTTGAACATTTGTAACGTTATAAAGGGTTAACAAATGTATGGACATCTTTTAATGTTCTCTGTGGTGTACCGATATATTTCGGAACACACTTTAGATACACCTTAATGGATGAAGTGGCCATACGGCACAGTATAATCTTTACATTGTTTGGCTGTCGTCGTCGCCAAGGTACACGTTAGATAGAGGTTTCCTTACTCCCTATTTATAGAATTATTCTACGTTATGATGCCGTTATCTGAGTACGTATACTTGGTATTGTATTACCTATTTACAGAACTATTCTACGTTATGATGCCGTTATCTGAGTACGTATACTTGGTATTGTATTACCTATTTACAGAATTATTCTACGTTATGATGCCGTTATCTGAGTAAGTATACTTGGTATTGTATTACCTATTTACATGATTACATTATTAACTTAATCATTATAACATTCACTTATCACTGGGACAGGCCTAGAAGTCAAAAGAAAGTGATGGAATTTAGCTGACTTTTATTTTAATAGAGAATATGTTAGGTAGTATATATGGTAAGCGGTTTATCCACACTACTGTATTTACAGTGTCATTCGAACAATTGTATCATCGCAAGCACATGGATAAAATCGTGGATAAAACATGTAATGGCGATGAGAAAATTGTTCACACTAAAAGCCCTGATTAGTGTGATAATATACAAATCTAACAGGGAAACGTTTATGGGAAATAGATTCTGGCATACCACCTGTGTGATAGAATATCCTTATACAATATCAGATTTGCCTCCCCTTACTAGCATTTTTAACGTTCTCATTAGGCCGAGAAATTTATGTTCCAAAGCTGTTTGTTTCGGAATCACTTTTTTAATACAAATTAATCTGATCAGGTTTAGTCATCAGCCACACAGTAACATATTATATATATCCATAACCATTGTTTCATGTTTTAATTATTACTTGTTATATAACCTCGTGCGCATTTTTACACTATATATTTCGACATGAATATTGTTACATAATTATCAGTGAACACAAGTTGCACGTCCTTTCAATATGTTGCATGCTACAAATCCACGTTAAACTTATTGATTTATAATTTCATTCATTCCATTAACATGTATATGTTTTGTTATTAACATTCCATATCTGTCCAGATAACTAAATTTATAATTCTAGGTTCCAAGTTGGATACCGTTTTCAGTCAGGCGTGATCATACGTACCAGCAAGTTTTAAGTCAACTAAGTATCAAAAGGCCATTGAACTTGAACTGCAATAACCCATGACGGTTTGATTATACGAGAACAAAGTACTATGATTATACGAGACCATGGAAATTTGATTCAACTAGACAGAGGAACTTTGATCATACGAGGCCAGGGAACTTTGATTATACGAGGCCAGGGAACTTTGATTATACCGTAGACACTACTTTCCATACGCTGATAGAAACTGAAGCTGTAGGTGTCTCGTCAGTCTTAATTAGACATCAACGACCACAGATAACACTTAATTAGACATTCTTGACCACAGATAACACTTCATTAGACATCGACGACCACAGATAACACTTAATTAAACATCGACGCCCACAGATAACACTTAATTAGACATCGACGACCACAAATAACACTTAATTAGACGTCGACGACCACAGATAACACTTAATTAGACTTCGACGACCACAGATAACACTTAATTAGACATCGACGACCACAGATAACCCTTAATTAGACGTCGACGACCACAGATAACACTTAATTAGACTTCGACGACCACAGATAACACTTAATTAGACATTGACGACCACAGATAACACTTCATTAGACATCGACGACCACAGATAATACTTAATTAGACATCGACGACCAACAGATAACACTTAATTAGACATTGACGACCACAGATAACACTTCATTAGACATCGACGACCACAGATAACACTTAATTAGACTTCGACGACCACAGATAACACTTAATTAGACATTGACGACCACAGATAACACTTCATTAGACATCGACGACCACAGATAATACTTAATTAGACATCGACGACCAACAGATAACACTTAATTAGACATTGACGACCACAGATAACACTTAATTAGAAATCGACGACCACAGATAACACTTAATTAGACATCGACGACCACAGATAACACTTAATTAGTCATCGACGACCACAGATAACTCTAAATTAGACATCGACGACCACAGATAACTCTAAATTAGACATCGACGACAACATATAACACTTAATTAGACATCGACGACCACAGATGACACTTAATTAGACATCGACGACCACAGATAACACTTAATTAGATATCAACGACCACAGATAACACTTAATCAGACATCGACGACCACAGATAACACTTAATTAGAAATCGACGCCCACAGATAACACTTCATTAGACATCGACGACAACATATAACACTTAATTAGAAATCGACGCCCACAGATAACACTTACTTAGACGGCGACGACCACAGATAATACTTAATTAGATATCAACGACCACCGATAACACTTAATCAGACATCGACGACCAACAGATAACACTTAATTAAACATCGACGACCAAAGATAACACTTAATAAGACATCGACGACCAACAGATAACACTTAAACAGACATCGACGACCACAGGTAACACTTAATTAGAAATCGACGCCCACAGATAACACTTTATTTGAAATCGACGACCACAGATGACACTTAATTATAACGGTGCTATGTGGTTATACAAATATCAAAAAAAAAAAAAAAAAAAAAAAAAAAAGTTTAGAAGATAAGATAAGTATTCCTCGATATTATATATTTTCAAACATTTCGTGATATTTTATCTTTATTAAATTATTCCATATTTAAATGTGTCATATTTTAATTTTCTATGTATATTTATCATAATGCATTGAATCCACATTTACGTCTTAATATGCAAATGTTGTTTGTTCCAATATATGTTGTTTTTCAATATTTATTCAATGATTATAACAACTTTAATTCACTGTTGTTTACGTACATTTTATTGTTCCGGACAATAAAGAGTTTTAGGATTGCAGCCCTGAGTTAACTCCCTTTGAAACATACTGTAAGTATATATCATACAGTAATACAACGTCAGGGAGGAGTGCTGTATGTCTGCTGCTATTACAATAAGATTATATATTGTCATAAGTATATTATACTGACTTCCAAGTCACCTGTTATTACAATTTCCTTGTTTCTCTGTCTGTCTTAACTTGCTCTTGGTTTGTAACGCAGACTAAGTCGAAACACTAAGGAGAATTTCACCAGACGTTTTTCAGATTTGTTTTTGTATTGTTGCGTAAAAACTCAACAACACGTACTATTTTTGATAACTGTTAAACGTTTTAAGTGTATGATTACATGAGAAAGGGTTAATTACCATACAATTTGTAATTGTAGTTAAAGCCAAGATGAACGTAACTCATAAAGGTGATTGCGCCTTTAACATTTTGTCATGTTACAGTATGCCAAAAAGTAATAATATTGCATCATACAGCTGTTTCGCTCTTCTTTATGAACTTAAAAAATCAGAGGAATACTGATTAATTTCAGATCAATAATCTCTAAAATGTTTATATTAATTTATAACAAAACAGTTTAATTTATTCCCCATGATCAACTAGTGTTAAATTTATTGTAAAAAAAAACAAAGTTTAAATTCGATGAATGTGGATTTTTCGTATAAGTACAAAATATATCTCTTATACGTTTCCAACACACAAAGAAACAAATCTTAAATTAAAAGTACAGAATACCCACTAAGGGGACGCGGAAACAAAATGAAAGACATCATGAAGCCTCTACAATAACATGTAGGAGAAATCCGGCGCTTACTCCACATCATCAGTATTGGGCATGATCAGAGATGGCAATCGGAAGTACTATACTTTGTGAGTAACTTTGATACATTTAGCGGCATTCAAATACCTTAGGATCGTTTTGTATTGATTCATTTTTATTTTTATAACAGATCACCAAGACAATCACAAAAAAGGAAATATGTGAACACAACTGGTTATCAAAAGATTTCTCAATATACTTGAACCAGATTGGTCCCAACTGTGCTCTATTTCGGCTTTAGTTAATTAAACACTAACACATATTGGTTCCTTTGATAACATATGATCACATGACTTACGTGATGTAAAGGTAACTGTTATTGATAGTAGAACGAGGAACTGCCCTGGCTCCTATCTTGATGGTGTTTGTATCATGTTAAGTTATTTCGTCTATCGTGTGCTGATCTTGGCCTGTCGTTATAATTTATCTAGACCAAGTCTCACCTCTCAACGACATTTTGTTTGAATTAAAATTTGTAGATAAAAAATCATTGTCAACGAGGTCAAGCCTGATTCAGATAATCAAAATTGCATTTTCCGTTTGCTGTCGTCATATTAGTGTTTATACTACACAATGACATTTATAATTTACGTAAAGCATAAAGATCATTTTTGTGGTATATATTCTTACATTGCTGCATTTTTCTATTTATTTGATTATGTGAAGACTTAAAAGTTCAACATTAACTTATTATATAATCCAGTTTATGTAATGCCTTAATTACCTGTTAATTAAATCTTATTACCACAGGCTTATGAATAAGGACATTTACCTTTTCACTTTATGTCATGTTATACATGAACAAAGTGTCGTTGAATACCTACATTTTACGCGCAGTACACGACATCTCGCTAGTCATAGAGAGGATCGTTAACGTTTGATTCGTGTAACCACTTTCCTCGTCAGGTTGAATTGCCGCATCGCGAGAGCACGACGTACTAAGTTTAACAAGTACAGCAAGTCAGTGGAAGTTATTATGAGGCCGATTGAAAATACATAAATGACAATAGATGTTTATATAGACTGATAGAGCCCGTGTTTGTAGTGTAATCGTGCCCATTTGGGTTTTACATTGTACATTTAATAGCACATCCGCTGTTAACCTCATTGATATAACAAAATTACAATTATATTCAAATTGTGTTACATAGGGAATAATACATGCCTTTTTCCATATCACACCGAGTGTCAATCCGAGACTGCAATATCAGCCCGATGACCTGATATTGGTCGAGGGTTGATACTGGGTGTGATATGGAAAAGGGCATGTTTTATTCTGTTTATATTATACTTTCTTATAAAAGCTACTATCTTATGATCTATTTTTCTTTTGAAATATTGAAAAACGAAACATTTCCAAATAGGGTGTGATACGGGTTTTGCGGGCTGATACGGAAAGGGCTGATACGGTTTTGGGGTGTGATACGGCGGAAGCTAATATGGCTTTTGGGGTGTGATACGGCGAGGGCTGATATGGGTTAGAGCAATTGTGTCGTATAGCATACAAAAAACCCATTTTATAAGTAAGTATGTAACAAATAACCTGTATTTCTATCATCATACGTCCGTTTGAATCAAAACACTATGATACAGAGCGCTATACATTTATTTCAAGATTAAGTTGCGAGCTTGTAAAAGTTGAACAAACTGTTTTAACTGCCACATTATCAAAACATCCCAATGTAATTAAAAATATTTCAAATAACCAAAATGCGCGTTTTATAGATTTGAACAAAAACTTAAATATTGGTTAATCCTTTGTAAATTAGCTATGATACTCAGCCTTCAGCTAATAACTAGTTCTATATGAATAACCGTTGGTATCACATCACCAGATTATGGAATAGACCTGTTTAAATACGTGTACTTTCGGTGGCGGGTTGGGTTGGTGGTTAACAGTATCTAAAATAGAGGAATCATTCTAGGATGTTTGTCACAGCACAAAGATTGTTGTTCTTCATAGTTGATACTTTTGAAATTTATTGTAATAAAAATGATATACAACATTTAATATAGCGCCCTATCTAGCTAGAACTAGCCATTCTTAAGCGCTTTACAGTACATAAATATACCATTTATACATTCAATACAATTAGCATATACATAAATCAATACAATTTTGAGGAAATTGCTGGAGCTGCCTTATCAGGCGCTAACTACTAGTCATATGCCACCTTCCTAATATCTCCCTATGTGTGTATGCCTGCGTTTGTGCTGGAACTGTATTGTGTTATATGAAGTTTGAAAACCAAGGACTTGAAAACAATATTATTACAAAATTATCTTATAATAAACCATCGCGTTTACGCAAAATTTCTGTTATGACCTTGTAGACAGTCGGAATTTTCTTATATAGATTCATAAAAATGTATAATTTTAAGATAACTATGGGGATTTCTACATGTCTGACCAACGTTTTGTTTCTGAGTCATATCTATTAACACATGTGCATAGCACGCCATTTCATTGTAAACAATATGACTTGCCGAGGGAAGTGATATCGAGTGAAAACCGTTACCGCTTGAGCTACGAAGCGAAGAGTTGCCAAATGGTCAAAAAATAGCGCAAGGATTACGTACGTTACGGAAACATTATTGCAGGTACTGAATCTGTTACTAAACATTTGCATGCCCTGTGTCATGGATAAAATAAAAAAATATATATATCCCATGCCTACAGTGATGTTAAAAAGTAAATGTCCCATTACAAGAGAATCAATAATTGCTACAGTGAAAAGTATTTTAACATAAAAAAGTGTTCCTTTTCAAGTGTGCTTACATCTCTGTGTAAATTATTGAAAATATATGATTTTCAATTATCTTATATATTGGCTTTGCCAGAAATACTTATTGTGTTTGATGACTAATATGACTTACGAAGTGTTAAAGCGTATGAAACAGTGAAAGTGGGAATGCACTGCATGGTCTGGAATAAAGTGGTCAAAGACAATGAGCTGTAATAACAAAATGTCACAAACATTTCTCTTTGTTATAACTGCCAATGCAGTCATGCATTTAATGAAAACATTTGAAAAGGGCTATATTCGTCCCGAAGATATTCCTTTTTAAGAAAGTGTTGTCTCATGGTTGAGGGAAGGTGTTTAGTCTTGTATCCTGGTATCTGTAAATAATGCCGAGATGCCAACAAATATTTCTTCATTTGAATATTGACATTATTAACTTTGTATTATTAACTTATTAACTTCTGATGATGAATAATAGACTTGGAATCATATTCATTGATTTCATAGTGCGATAATAAGTTGCCCGACGGCCCCTCTCTGGAGATCCCTTGGAAACTTCGCATCTCGGTCAGACCACCTGTGTTTACTGCATCTTTTCAAAACTGTCACGTGACGATATCGGCGCTATTTTTAACGGGGCTTTCCCAAACAATTCGAGTGGTCAAACTGAACAGTTGGAACGAACTATGAATATGGGGATAGCAAGGAAACATAATCGGCAGTGCAGAAATCACGTACATTCAATAAAGGAAATATTGGTTTCAACGGTATATCCCTGTAATCATTCATAAACATATGCCTACATCTATATATTTATAATACCTTTTCAGTACTTGTTATTCAACACACTCTAGATTACATACGTATTGTTTTATATCTACTCTAATACATCCTCGCAACCATTCCCAACTTCTTTTCTTCATCATTTCTATCCCATGAAGAGTCGATGGAACCGCGGAGAGAATGATCTTCTTCCCATTAGGCTGTGCTATGAAACGAATAAACACATACAAACATCACAAATGGGCAAGACAGAAACTTAATATAGATATATGCCCAGTGTTTATTGATATTTTTATAGTTGTATATGATGCAGATGTCAATGTACTTTCTTTCTAACAGAAATAACATTACAACCACAACACGCAGACAAATTCTTAATTCAAGGTAGATGAAAAAGAATAGGAATTGATGAAACACTGAATCAAAAATCCCGATAAAGTTCTTACTGAGGAAGGAAAGGTAACACTAGTACGATTAAAGTTTTCACTTATGTATCATAGCATAAATATTAAGATAAGAGGTATTTCGTCTTTTTGAGAATAACTATGATTCATGCAGGTATAGATATTCTTGTTATACAAGGACAAATTGTATGAGGATCTATATGGCCCAGCTTACCTGTGACGTTATATCTCTGTATGACCCAGCTTACCTGTGACGTAATTTCTGTTTGATCTAGCTTACCTGTATCTAAATGGTCAAGATTACCGATGGTGTTATCTTAGTATCAAGCTACCCTTGACGTTACCTGTATGATCAAACGTACCCGTGATGTTATCTCTGTTTGATCTAGCTTACCTGTGTCTTTATTTGTATGATCCAATTTACCTTTGGCGTTACCTGTATGAACCAGCTTACCTATGACGTAATCTGTATGATCTAGCTTACCTGTGAAGATTTGGCACTGGCACAAAACGAGGGCAGGGTAAACACACTGTGGTCGGAAAGGTCTTGTGGGTCCACGAATTCGTAGTTGACTATCGCTCCACTTGCAGGGTCGTAGTCTTTGTCTTGGTTGTTATAACGAATAGGTGGACAGACCTTTCCTGGAGATATTATAAAAATACAATGATATGACATATCGTGTAAATATCACGACGGTAAAATGATATATTGACAAACAGATCCTCTAAGTATTACAAAGAGACAGTGATAAGTTGCCACACAAATCATATAAATATTAAAGAAGCTGTTGTTCATGTCAAACCTACCTACTTTAACGTCTAGCGTTAGGATGACGTCAGCGTACAGTTCCTTCCTGATCAGCGTGAAGTGCTCTGTGATCTGCTGAAAGTCCCCTACACCACCATGCCAGTCCGAGTGGGCGTCCACTGTTAACGCATCAATATCATATTAAACACTATCACAGAATCTTCATCCAGAGAATTGTTCTATACAGAAACAATCCACACAGGATCTACAGCTTGAGGATAAGTTTTCACAATTTCTTAAATTATCTTGCTGATGAACGAACAGTTTCACAAATTACAAATTTACATACCTGTAAAAATCTTCTAAAGCACGCTTAGCACTGTTTTTATATGAAGACATATATATAACATTTTCTTATTTTTGAAATATAGCATGCATGTTCGTATGGTAAACATACGAAGTTAATAGTTTCCAAATCAGAAAAATGTTCCAGAGAAAGATTATCGCAAATGTTGATTGCTAATCAAATGAAACGCCCACATATTATTTAATGTTCTTTATAGCTATGTCTGAACTCTTCGTATGGATATTTTCTTATATAACGTCATATATTTACACTGGTATCTATTTCGATATGAGTAGTTGGTAATAATGTACCATGTGACGCAATTTGGTATGTATATCTGCTATTCAGTTAAACAAGTACCGCATCATTTACTTTACTGATCCAGCGGGAAAAATGTAAATAGTACATTGACCGTAGATAAACAAGTATATAAAAACCCATAATAATACACGCACATGGCACACCATTCCATGGGTTCCATATGTAGTCGCTATCCTTGTCCTTGGTACAGGTGTGGTTGTCGTTATCAATAATGTATACTGTACTCTGTAATACATTACATAAAGAACATTTGAATTAGTGATGACTTCAAAAGAATCCTAAATTATATCGTATAGTCGGAATTTATTTTATACCACGACTTTAAAGTTTTGCGAGTTATATTTTATGATCACGTGCTTGTATATAAGCCATTAGTCATTCACACAGGATTAATATAAAGGTTATACATTAACCGAATTTTGGAAAGAAACTTAAAACAAAAATCTTTGATACAATCGATAGAAAACATAATCCGATGTCAGACATGATATCTTATGTGAAATTATAAAAGCAAAAACTCGAGAAGCTAGAAAATCCATGACTGTTATATTGTAGCTACAACATTGAAATGCATGCCCCACTTGCTTGAAATATCTCAAAGTCTGAGTCAAAGGTTTAAGGAAATTGAAAGAGTTTAGATTTGGCAAAAACTTTGTTGCATAGATGGAAAGTAACTGTTATTAACAAGACCGCAAATTATCGTGTTTTAAGAAAGTACCATTTTCGACTATTTCATGTATTAATAACAAAAGAACACTCATTTAAGTGGTACATATATGTATTTTATTCCTTACCTCATTGAAATGCCAGATGTAGGTATTTGAGAGCGGCACGTTGCCTAGTGATGCCAAACCCTTGAGGTCAAGTCTCATCTGTTGACTGGGATAGTCGTAGTAATATGTTCCAGTAGCATTCATCAGTTCTGGAATAGACATGATCAACTCACCAGATTCAAAGAAAACCTTGCTTTGCCATGATGGCGGAAATGTGCAATGCACACCAATTTCATTTTGCAGTATTGCTGCTGTTATTGAAAGGATCGACAGGAACAGCAAACATTTGATGAAAGCGTCCATGTTTGTACGCTATCTGAACGGTTTAGCCTATCACCGAGTTATCGTTAAATCGAATACGTATGTACAGTATCAAAGGAGTCAAGGTATTGGCTGACAATCAGATAATATTTTGAGACGTGGGCAAATATTAAAATGTATATCATCAATACAAGTGTACCGATTAACTAGAATACATATTTTCTTCGGTATAACTGTAATGTTAGTTTTTAGATGTTGCAGTGTCACTATTCCATGACAATGTATTGTATTTGTTCTAGTTACTTCGTATCTAGTTCGACCTATCAATCACTATTTCTGTTGACAACGATATTGGGTCCACCATTCATTCACTCAGTCAGTATTCTATTTGGCGTCAATCCTTCGTCGTCGAGCTGTCTCGCAAGGAAAAAGTTATCACTTGAGATTTTTCGCTGTTTGTTCTATTTATTTTACAGCCAAAACAATCCCGGCATATTTCATTTTAATCACATTGTGTAGGAGTTAATCAGAGTAGCATACATATCTATAAACCTTCTCCTCCGTTGACAGCAATTCTGGTGACTAGCACTCTCGTAGGAAGGAGTCGTATTACTTCACTATATTCGCCTTTTCTTGGTGTCAGGTAAAGAAAAAAAGATATGTCATGATGATAGTATCTTTATTACATGACTTAAAGTTAGATACCCCATGCTTAACTGGTGAGATATACGATAGCATTTTTCCTTCTATATGATGTATTAAAATCTTATTATTCCGCGTTTCTATTTTACGCAAAAAGATGATGGACTCTGCTGGTGGGCTCTGCTGGACGACTGCCACTTTCCGAGTTTTGCCATAATCTTGTAGCTGGACTATATCCAGACATAAAAAAATGGGGTTCAATAATATGTTATCTGTCGTAGTCAAACAGTTGTACCATTATGAATGGTTTTACAAATGAATGGCCACCTTTCCCTTCCGCTATACACTACAGGTATCTTTAGGATTAGGTTTAACTTTTATTCTTTTGGCCTTAATTGTTTACTTTGTGTGGCTATCTTTGTCGCTAAGCTAAACTTTAGACAGATGCTCCCTTACTTCCTATTTATAGCAATTATTGTACGTAATCATGCCGTAATCTGAGTACGTATACTTGGTATTGTATTACCTATTTACATGTTTATCACTAGTATATATGTCACGGTCACCATTATAAATATGTATAAATGGAGCAAACTGTGACATAAAGTATATCTGCTCTTGAATCAAGGACAAAACACGATTATTTTGACGTCAACATACCTGATAGCTACCTTGTAAATATTCTTTCTAGTGAAATTATAAGTTTTCATTGATTTGTCATTCCACTGAAGATGAGATAACTTATCAAAATGTGTTCACGTTGCTAGCATAACTAGCTCGTGCTTAGTAACCACCGATTCTTTTAGTTGATTATCTAGATTATGATATATGACTTCTCTTTTCAGGTTTTAAGGTATTTTCCGGATCTTACTCAACATTGGAGCACAAACGATCTTTTAAAATATTTATAGCATATTAATTGTTGTATATCTACATCATTTTATTTTTGTTTATTATTATTACTTTAATTAAATGGACGACGACGACAACGATTTAACATCTCTCACCACAGGTTAGCCGAAACAGAAATACTTCCGTGCTCCAAATACAACAGCACCACAGTAATGTTTTACGGATATTCTTATTTAATTGCTTCCCAGCCATGTAGGTATGAACTATTTGTTTTTTGTAAACCTTGTGAAATGCGCTATTCCGTCTTTGCGTATTGCAGAGTTATCTTCTCTTGGGAGCAGGTATTGATTGTTACGTCACTTGTTTGAGGGGGAACGTCATCAATTTTTGAGAAAACGACGTAATTTTCTCGCACAAACCAATGACGTAACAATCAATTCCTTCTCCCAAGAGAATATAACTCTGCAATACGCAAAGACGGAATAAAGGCCACGACGAAATATACTGAAATTGATATTGATGGTGATTGTATCCCTGATTGACAATTTTGTTTTCAATTTAGTGTCAAAAGTTTACCTCCAACATAGCGATTTTCTATCGGGGTAAACTATCTTCCTCTTTTGATCGATTAGGTTTTGCTACCATTTTATGCAGCATTCATCGAAGAACTTGTCGGGAGAAGAACGAAATACCTTACGATGTTCTTCAATTCATTTCGTCATTATGTTATATATTTAAATCACTTGAAAGTTCTTTCGACACCTATCGTATAAACTGTCTTGAAAATGAAATCAAGTAACAGCGACCTCTTATGAGTTGTGGCTTGGTATATAATATACATACTTTACTCAAGTTCAAGTTCATTTATTTCCTTAAGCTTTTACTACACACATACACACCACTTCCGCACCTACTCCTAGAGGTGTCGAGAGATATCATGTACTGCTAAAAATAATGTTATTAATAATAGAATAATATTTGATGATAAGGACATAGTAATGTATTACTGACAAACACTAGATACAATTGACTTAATTCATTACATTTTGTCGTCTTCTACTAGCGATTCTTACATATTTGGACAAAGTATCTTTTTTTTCTTTTTTTCCTTAGGATTACATCTTAATGAATTTATAGATACTCATATTTATTAGAAGCTAACCTCTTCTTTTTCAAATATATTCATGTAATGAAGGGGTCAAATGCACTTCCCCTTCTGTTTCAACAGCAGTTTAAATAAATTTGGATTTCCGCCTTCCTGGCCTCAGCACCACCGATGGATCCTTTTAGACATACTGTATCAATTACACAATAATAGTTGCGATCATATGCGTGTATCTTTAATGGTCGACATCATGATATATCAGAAAATATGATATTCTCTTAAAAGATATAAGTATCGGTATTTTTTCTTTGTCACTATTAGGGTTCCCACTTTGAGGACGCTATCTTTTTTTTCCTAAAATAAGGATTGAAGTTTCGGTTGCCTTCTATGTCTTATTCGTTTTGTGTTTTTAAGTGTCCTTATGCAAATCTATCATTTATTCATGCTTTGCCCAGGTTTCATCGATTTTGAGTTAGAATTACGATTTTGTTTGTGCTTCAGTGTGCTTTTTTGTCATTGTTTAGTTCTATGTGCGATGAAGATCATATATTGTCCGACTCAAATAAAAACTCAAAAGGTGAGATACAATTTCCTGTATGACGCCCACATCCGAGAAAGTCCAGTACGTTGTTATCAAAGAAGTTTTGAGTGAAAAAGTTGTATTTTTAAATGCAATATTTTCCATCGCGTTTCTTATGAGATGTATATCATTCTATATCAAATATGTTGAAAAAAGTGTTGAGAGCCATTTGCAAATAATTATGGTCATTTTATCATTGTTTTGTTTAATGATTCAATGTTTAATGATTACCGTGGTACTTCACGTAGCTACATGTGTTTCGGACAGCAAATTGTATAAACCTTATCAGCGAGAAAAAAACAAATCACTTTCGGTATATGAAGTAATTATTTTATTCCAACAGTCATCCCATGAATATACCGATGTGTCGACTTGGAAGCAACCTCTTGACTATTTCGTTGTCCTATAAAAAGAAAGACATGATCAAAATATATCAGGAAGAGTACAAATGCAACAATAAATCATATCAATGATACTGCACTTGATGGAGTCATTAATACGTTATTATAAAATGTTTACTATAATAATACCGCAGCATATGAGGTAATTTTAATACAATATTATATAACATTAACTCTCTCATTTTTATTTTAAATGTAAAGCAGACCTTGCTGAAAGAATTACTTTGATACATCTTCATTCATTAAAGTGTTGCAATGTACTTTTCTAACAACAATGCTTCAAGTTTTACTTTGATTAATCGCAATACGTTAAAGTGTTCAAACTTAGTTTTCTAACTGTCCGATGCAGATGAAATTGACACTAACCCACCACCCACTACTTATTACTCTTACCTCAGCTTTAACTCACCAACCTACTACTTATTACGCTTACCTTAACTTTGACTAACCCATCCACCCTCTACTTATTGCTCTTACCTCAGCTTTGACTAACCCACCTACTGCCTATTACTCTTACTTCAGCTTTGACTAACCCACCTACTACCTATTGCTCTTACCTCAGCTTTGACTTACCAACCTACTACTTATTACTCTTACCTTAAATTTGACTAACCCATCCACCCACTACCTATTGCTCTTACCTCAGCTTTGACTTACCAACCTACTACTTATTGCTCTTACTTCAGATTTGACCAACCCTTCGGCCCACTACATATTGCTCTTACCACAGCTTTGACTAACCCATCAACCCACTACTTATTACTCTTACCTCAGCTTTGCCTTCCCAACCTCCTACTTATTACTCTTACCTTAAATTTGACTAACCCATCCACACACTACCTATTGCTCTTACCTCAGCTTTGACTTACCAACCTACTACTTATTGCTCTTACTTCAGATTTGACCAACCCTTCGGCCCACTACATATTGCTCTTACCACAGCTTTGACTAACCCATCAACCCACTACTTATTACTCTTACCTCAGCTTTGACTTACCAACCTACTACTTATTACTCTTACCTTAAATTTGACTAACCCATCCACCTACTACTTATTGCTCTTACCTCAGCTTTGACTCACCAACCCACTACTTATTACTCTAACCTCAGCTTTGACTTACCCACCCACTACTTATTACTCTTACTTCAGCTTTGACCAACACATCGACCCACTTCTTATTACTATTACCGCAACTTTGACTCACCCATCCACCCACTACTTATTACTCTTACTTCAGCTTTGACCAACCCATCCACTATTAGTTACTCTTATCTCAGCTTTGACTTACCCACCCCCTACTTATCGCTCTTACCTCAACTTTGACTCATCCACCCACTACTTACTACTTTTACCTCAACTTTGACTAGCCCATCGACTCACTACTTATTACTCTTACCTCAGGTTTGACCAACTCACCCTACCACTACTTATTACTCTTACCTCAGGTTTGACCAACTCACCCATCCACTACTTATTACTCTTACCTCAGCTATGACTTACCTTTAATGTGGAATTTACACAATGAGGCGGGGTATTGAACACTTTCGAGTCACTGAGCGGCATGGTGTCCAGGAATTCATAATTAACCATTTCCCCAGAGATGGGATCCAGGTGTTGGTCTTGGAAGGACACACGAAGAGGAGAACAAATATTACCTATAAGTAAATATATATTGTGTATAGTGGACAAACCTAGAAATGGTAGTGATAAAACCCGACAACAAAGGCTTTGTCTTACAAATGACGAACTTTCTTTTCGTCAATTCTACAATTAATAGTAGACCAAAATGCTTACCTAAAACATCAAATTGCAGTTAATCTACAAATTGTATTTACTTTTTTCTTGTTCCGTCTTTAGATATCGTGCAATTAATGTTCGAATCTTATCTATTCATTAAACTATCCCTAGAACTTGGGAAAATTGACCTAAGCGCTGATTCAGCTTGTATATATTGTACGTTTTGAGTTTTTATTATGTCAAATTGCTGTTCCCATCAATTTCATTGATTGATTGATTGATTAATTTGGCAAGTAAATTGTCAGTAATTGACAATGTTAGTGTGAAGTACACAGGAAGCCTTATGTAAATGTACTTGCCAATTTTCACATCGAGGGTCACCACAGCGTCTGCATCCCCGGCGTTCCTGACCAATGTGTATTGTGAAACGGTCTCCTGGAAACCGCCTAAACCACCATTACTTGTCACCTCAGCATCACCTGGAAATAAACGGGTAAACATTGAGACCAGGAACATTCTGAGGTTAGGAAAGTTTCCAGGAAAAGTTAAAGAGTTACAAAATCATAGAACGTACAACGGTCAAGTAATTTTATAACGTGGAGACAGCATCATGGACAGGGAAAGTCAAAGTGCAAGGAAAGTTAGTGAGTTATACAACAGCTTCAAATGATTTGCATTTGAGATAAAATCTAGGGCTGTATATAAGGCTTAATATGATATATATATTTATGTATATAAACTTTATTTATTTTACAACAATTATGAAACAAGTTATTTCAACTTATATTAATCACTCTTGTTGGCCCGGATGTTAGCGCGCGGAGGGTCTAAATATGGGAGGGAATCGGAGTTCCCGGAGAAAACTAACGTAGTCGGGCAGGTGACCCCATACCTTTTCACGTCCGATCGGGGAATCGAACCCCAGTCGCCATGGTGAAAGGCAAGTGCGCTATCCACTGCACCATCCGACCACCCTTAATATGATGTAATAATAAACATATTGATGCGACTTACGGTTAGGATGTGTTACGAGGGAGAAGTTTTACTATAAACGTGGGAAAATATTTGTGTTATGGAAGATAATAAATGATATATTTTTAAAAGATTGGAAGTAGTGAGGTAAAAGTAGTTGATGCATATTAGTAAAGATATGAAATGCAAGGCTAGGCAAGTTAAGGAGTTTTAAGAAATGTTAGGATTAGGGAAAGTTGAAGCCTGTAGTAGATAAAAACTGAGAGGGGAAATATATTACTCCATTAAAACATTAGGTCAAAATGTTATTTTTTTGTCGATATCATAGAAAAAGACAATATCAGATACTGGGGAGACAATACACTCGGTGCTACTTACTCGGTACCCCAGCCCACTACTTACTCGGTACCCCAGCCCACTGGTTCCACACAGCGATGCTATCTTCCTCTCTACTGCACGTATTGTTGTTGTTGTCTAGGGTGTAAACTGCTTGCTGTAATGAATCACAATATTTGTAAGAGTTGTTTAGAGAAAAATAATTGAAATATCGTCAGATTTTTTTATAACACCCCTGCCCTTAAATACATCTAAATGTGCCTTTTCAATGTTTGCAACACGAATATTAAACAATATCTAGCAAGGTAGACAAGTGTGTGTATTCACTATTTGCTATAACATTTTTACAGCTTACTATCATATTCAACATTATTTTTTTCAAAAATGTATCGACCTCATGAAATTTCCAGATAAATGTGAAAGAGAAGTGATAATTCCCCAGAGCAAAGCCGGATACGTCAAGTCTCATCTGTTGGTTTGGGTAATCGTAGAAGTAGGTGCCTGAAGCGTTCATCTGTTCCGGGATCCATATCATCATCCCGGAGTCCATAAACACACTGCACTGCCATTGTGTAGGGAACTCACAATTGTAATCCTTCCGGACCACGGCAGCACCAACAGTCACAACACAAAGTACACTGCAGAAAGCGACGAGCTTAGTACACTCCATTGGCTAGGCAGTATCTCTTGAATAGTTTCTTATAGGCTATCACTGTTAACGTATTTACATACAAGATAACACCGTACCAAATACGACTTACAACAGTATTTGTCTTATAGTTATAAAACAACCTGGTCAAACAGTTTCATTTACAAATGACCTTGGACTCATGATTTATCGATAGTAGGTATTGCACAGGATAACACATGTCTGTGTGTAAGAGAGGTCAGGCTAGTCTCATCAATACAGAAGTTAGTGTTCTCCTTGAGTAACACATGTCTGTGTGTAACAGAGGTCAGGTTAGTCTCATCAATACAGAAGTTAGTGTTCTCCTTAAATAACACATGTCTGTGTGTAACAGAGGTCAGACTAGTCTCATCAATACAGAAGTTAGTGTTCTCCTTAAATAACACATGTCTGTGTGTAACAGAGGTCAGGCTAGTCTCATCAATACAGAAGTTAGTGTTCTCCTTAAATAACACATGTCTGTGTGTAACAGAGGTCAGACTAGTCTCATCAATACAGAAGTTAGTGTTCTCCTTAAATAACACATGTCTGTGTGTAACAGAGGTCAGGCTAGTCTCATCAATACAGAAGTTAGTGTTCTCCTTAAATAACACATGTCTGTGTGTAACAGAGGTCAGGCTAGTCTCATCAATACAGAAGTTAGTGTTCTCCTTAAATAACACATGTCTGTGTGTAACAGAGGTCAGGCTAGTCTCATCAATACAGAAGTTAGTGTTCTCCTTAAATAACACATGTCTGTGTGTAACAGAGGTCAGGCTAGTCTCATCAATACAGAAGTTAGTGTTCTCCTTAAATAACACATGTCTGTGTGTAACAGAGGTCAGGCTAGTCTCATCAATACAGAAGTTAGTGTTCTCCTTAAATAACACATGTCTGTGTGTAACAGAGGTCAGACTAGTCTCATCAATACAGAAGTTAGTGTTCTCCTTAAATAACACATGTCTGTGTGTAACAGAGGTCAGGCTAGTCTCATCAATACAGAAGTTAGTGTTCTCCTTAAATAACACATGTCTGTGTGTAACAGAGGTCAGACTAGTCTCATCAATACAGAAGTTAGTGTTCTCCTTAAATAACACATGTCTGTGTGTAACAGAGGTCAGGCTAGTCTCATCAATACAGAAGTTAGTGTTCTCCTTAAATAACACATGTCTGTGTGTAACAGAGGTCAGACTAGTCTCATCAATACAGAAGTTAGTGTTCTCCTTAAATAACACATGTCTGTGTGTAACAGAGGTCAGGCTAGTCTCATCAATACAGAAGTTAGTGTTCTCCTTAAATAACACATGTCTGTGTGTAACAGAGGTCAGACTAGTCTCATCAATACAGAAGTTAGTGTTCTCCTTAAATAACACATGTCTGTGTGTAACAGAGGTCAGGCTAGTCTCATCAATACAGAAGTTAGTGTTCTCCTTAAATAACACATGTCTGTGTGTAACAGAGGTCAGACTAGTCTCATCAATACAGAAGTTAGTGTTCTCCTTAAATAACACATGTCTGTGTGTAACAGAGGTCAGGCTAGTCTCATCAATACAGAAGTTAGTGTTCTCCTTAAATAACACATGTCTGTGTGTAACAGAGGTCAGACTAGTCTCATCAATACAGAAGTTAGTGTTCTCCTTAAATAACACATGTCTGTGTGTAACAGAGGTCAGGCTAGTCTCATCAATACAGAAGTTAGTGTTCTCCTTAAATAACACATGTCTGTGTGTAACAGAGGTCAGACTAGTCTCATCAATACAGAAGTTAGTGTTCTCCTTAAATAACACATGTCTGTGTGTAACAGAGGTCAGGCTAGTCTCATCAATACAGAAGTTAGTGTTCTCCTTAAATAACACATGTCTGTGTGTAACAGAGGTCAGACTAGTCTCATCAATACAGAAGTTAGTGTTCTCCTTAAATAACACATGTCTGTGTGTAACAGAGGTCAGGCTAGTCTCATCAATACAGAAGTTAGTGTTCTCCTTAAATAACACATGTCTGTGTGTAACAGAGGTCAGACTAGTCTCATCAATACAGAAGTTAGTGTTCTCCTTAAATAACACATGTCTGTGTGTAACAGAGGTCAGGCTAGTCTCATCAATACAGAAGTTAGTGTTCTCCTTAAATAACACATGTCTGTGTGTAACAGAGGTCAGACTAGTCTCATCAATACAGAAGTTAGTGTTCTCCTTAAATAACACATGTCTGTGTGTAACAGAGGTCAGGCTAGTCTCATCAATACAGAAGTTAGTGTTCTCCTTAAATAACACATGTCTGTGTGTAACAGAGGTCAGACTAGTCTCATCAATACAGAAGTTAGTGTTCTCCTTAAATAACACATGTCTGTGTGTAACAGAGGTCAGGCTAGTCTCATCAATACAGAAGTTAGTGTTCTCCTTAAATAACACATGTCTGTGTGTAACAGAGGTCAGACTAGTCTCATCAATACAGAAGTTAGTGTTCTCCTTAAATAACACATGTCTGTGTGTAACAGAGGTCAGGCTAGTCTCATCAATACAGAAGTTAGTGTTCTCCTTAAATAACACATGTCTGTGTGTAACAGAGGTCAGACTAGTCTCATCAATACAGAAGTTAGTGTTCTCCTTAAATAACACATGTCTGTGTGTAACAGAGGTCAGGCTAGTCTCATCAATACAGAAGTTAGTGTTCTCCTTAAATAACACATGTCTGTGTGTAACAGAGGTCAGACTAGTCTCATCAATACAGAAGTTAGTGTTCTCCTTAAATAACACATGTCTGTGTGTAACAGAGGTCAGGCTAGTCTCATCAATACAGAAGTTAGTGTTCTCCTTAAATAACACATGTCTGTGTGTAACAGAGGTCAGACTAGTCTCATCAATACAGAAGTTAGTGTTCTCCTTAAATAACACATGTCTGTGTGTAACAGAGGTCAGGCTAGTCTCATCAATACAGAAGTTAGTGTTCTCCTTAAATAACACATGTCTGTGTGTAACAGAGGTCAGACTAGTCTCATCAATACAGAAGTTAGTGTTCTCCTTAAATAACACATGTCTGTGTGTAACAGAGGTCAGGCTAGTCTCATCAATACAGAAGTTAGTGTTCTCCTTAAATAACACATGTCTGTGTGTAACAGAGGTCAGACTAGTCTCATCAATACAGAAGTTAGTGTTCTCCTTAAATAACACATGTCTGTGTGTAACAGAGGTCAGGCTAGTCTCATCAATACAGAAGTTAGTGTTCTCCTTAAATAACACATGTCTGTGTGTAACAGAGGTCAGACTAGTCTCATCAATACAGAAGTTAGTGTTCTCCTTAAATAACACATGTCTGTGTGTAACAGAGGTCAGGCTAGTCTCATCAATACAGAAGTTAGTGTTCTCCTTAAATAACACATGTCTGTGTGTAACAGAGGTCAGACTAGTCTCATCAATACAGAAGTTAGTGTTCTCCTTAAATAACACATGTCTGTGTGTAACAGAGGTCAGGCTAGTCTCATCAATACAGAAGTTAGTGTTCTCCTTAAATAACACATGTCTGTGTGTAACAGAGGTCAGGCTAGTCTCATCAATACAGAAGTTAGTGTTCTCCTTAAATAACACATGTCTGTGTGTAACAGAGGTCAGACTAGTCTCATCAATACAGAAGTTAGTGTTCTCCTTAAATAACACATGTCTGTGTGTAACAGAGGTCAGGCTAGTCTCATCAATACAGAAGTTAGTGTTCTCCTTAAATAACACATGTCTGTGTGTAACAGAGGTCAGACTAGTCTCATCAATACAGAAGTTAGTGTTCTCCTTAAATAACACATGTCTGTGTGTAACAGAGGTCAGGCTAGTCTCATCAATACAGAAGTTAGTGTTCTCCTTAAATAACACATGTCTGTGTGTAACAGAGGTCAGACTAGTCTCATCAATACAGAAGTTAGTGTTCTCCTTAAATAACACATGTCTGTGTGTAACAGAGGTCAGGCTAGTCTCATCAATACAGAAGTTAGTGTTCTCCTTAAATAACACATGTCTGTGTGTAACAGAGGTCAGACTAGTCTCATCAATACAGAAGTTAGTGTTCTCCTTAAATAACACATGTCTGTGTGTAACAGAGGTCAGGCTAGTCTCATCAATACAGAAGTTAGTGTTCTCCTTAAATAACACATGTCTGTGTGTAACAGAGGTCAGGCTAGTCTCATCAATACAGAAGTTAGTGTTCTCCTTAAATAACACATGTCTGTGTGTAACAGAGGTCAGGCTAGTCTCATCAATACAGAAGTTAGTGTTCTCCTTAAATAACACATGTCTGTGTGTAACAGAGGTCAGGCTAGTCTCATCAATACAGAAGTTAGTGTTCTCCTTAAATAACACATGTCTGTGTGTAACAGAGGTCAGGCTAGTCTCATCAATACAGAAGTTAGTGTTCTCCTTAAATAACACATGTCTGTGTGTAACAGAGGTCAGACTAGTCTCATCAATACAGAAGTTAGTGTTCTCCTTAAATAACACATGTCTGTGTGTAACAGAGGTCAGGCTAGTCTCATCAATACAGAAGTTAGTGTTCTCCTTAAATAACACATGTCTGTGTGTAACAGAGGTCAGACTAGTCTCATCAATACAGAAGTTAGTGTTCTCCTTAAATAACACATGTCTGTGTGTAACAGAGGTCAGGCTAGTCTCATCAATACAGAAGTTAGTGTTCTCCTTAAATAACACATGTCTGTGTGTAACAGAGGTCAGACTAGTCTCATCAATACAGAAGTTAGTGTTCTCCTTAAATAACACATGTCTGTGTGTAACAGAGGTCAGGCTAGTCTCATCAATACAGAAGTTAGTGTTCTCCTTAAATAACACATGTCTGTGTGTAACAGAGGTCAGACTAGTCTCATCAATACAGAAGTTAGTGTTCTCCTTAAATAACACATGTCTGTGTGTAACAGAGGTCAGGCTAGTCTCATCAATACAGAAGTTAGTGTTCTCCTTAAATAACACATGTCTGTGTGTAACAGAGGTCAGACTAGTCTCATCAATACAGAAGTTAGTGTTCTCCTTAAATAACACATGTCTGTGTGTAACAGAGGTCAGGCTAGTCTCATCAATACAGAAGTTAGTGTTCTCCTTAAATAACACATGTCTGTGTGTAACAGAGGTCAGACTAGTCTCATCAATACAGAAGTTAGTGTTCTCCTTAAATAACACATGTCTGTGTGTAACAGAGGTCAGGCTAGTCTCATCAATACAGAAGTTAGTGTTCTCCTTAAATAACACATGTCTGTGTGTAACAGAGGTCAGACTAGTCTCATCAATACAGAAGTTAGTGTTCTCCTTAAATAACACATGTCTGTGTGTAACAGAGGTCAGGCTAGTCTCATCAATACAGAAGTTAGTGTTCTCCTTAAATAACACATGTCTGTGTGTAACAGAGGTCAGACTAGTCTCATCAATACAGAAGTTAGTGTTCTCCTTAAATAACACATGTCTGTGTGTAACAGAGGTCAGGCTAGTCTCATCAATACAGAAGTTAGTGTTCTCCTTAAATAACACATGTCTGTGTGTAACAGAGGTCAGGCTAGTCTCATCAATACAGAAGTTAGTGTTCTCCTTAAATAACACATGTCTGTGTGTAACAGAGGTCAGACTAGTCTCATCAATACAGAAGTTAGTGTTCTCCTTAAATAACACATGTCTGTGTGTAACAGAGGTCAGGCTAGTCTCATCAATACAGAAGTTAGTGTTCTCCTTAAATAACACATGTCTGTGTGTAACAGAGGTCAGACTAGTCTCATCAATACAGAAGTTAGTGTTCTCCTTAAATAACACATGTCTGTGTGTAACAGAGGTCAGGCTAGTCTCATCAATACAGAAGTTAGTGTTCTCCTTAAATAACACATGTCTGTGTGTAACAGAGGTCAGACTAGTCTCATCAATACAGAAGTTAGTGTTCTCCTTAAATAACACATGTCTGTGTGTAACAGAGGTCAGGCTAGTCTCATCAATACAGAAGTTAGTGTTCTCCTTAAATAACACATGTCTGTGTGTAACAGAGGTCAGACTAGTCTCATCAATACAGAAGTTAGTGTTCTCCTTAAATAACACATGTCTGTGTGTAACAGAGGTCAGGCTAGTCTCATCAATACAGAAGTTAGTGTTCTCCTTAAATAACACATGTCTGTGTGTAACAGAGGTCAGACTAGTCTCATCAATACAGAAGTTAGTGTTCTCCTTAAATAACACATGTCTGTGTGTAACAGAGGTCAGGCTAGTCTCATCAATACAGAAGTTAGTGTTCTCCTTAAATAACACATGTCTGTGTGTAACAGAGGTCAGACTAGTCTCATCAATACAGAAGTTAGTGTTCTCCTTAAATAACACATGTCTGTGTGTAACAGAGGTCAGGCTAGTCTCATCAATACAGAAGTTAGTGTTCTCCTTAAATAACACATGTCTGTGTGTAACAGAGGTCAGACTAGTCTCATCAATACAGAAGTTAGTGTTCTCCTTAAATAACACATGTCTGTGTGTAACAGAGGTCAGGCTAGTCTCATCAATACAGAAGTTAGTGTTCTCCTTAAATAACACATGTCTGTGTGTAACAGAGGTCAGACTAGTCTCATCAATACAGAAGTTAGTGTTCTCCTTAAATAACACATGTCTGTGTGTAACAGAGGTCAGGCTAGTCTCATCAATACAGAAGTTAGTGTTCTCCTTAAATAACACATGTCTGTGTGTAACAGAGGTCAGACTAGTCTCATCAATACAGAAGTTAGTGTTCTCCTTAAATAACACATGTCTGTGTGTAACAGAGGTCAGGCTAGTCTCATCAATACAGAAGTTAGTGTTCTCCTTAAATAACACATGTCTGTGTGTAACAGAGGTCAGACTAGTCTCATCAATACAGAAGTTAGTGTTCTCCTTAAATAACACATGTCTGTGTGTAACAGAGGTCAGGCTAGTCTCATCAATACAGAAGTTAGTGTTCTCCTTAAATAACACATGTCTGTGTGTAACAGAGGTCAGACTAGTCTCATCAATACAGAAGTTAGTGTTCTCCTTAAATAACACATGTCTGTGTGTAACAGAGGTCAGGCTAGTCTCATCAATACAGAAGTTAGTGTTCTCCTTAAATAACACATGTCTGTGTGTAACAGAGGTCAGACTAGTCTCATCAATACAGAAGTTAGTGTTCTCCTTAAATAACACATGTCTGTGTGTAACAGAGGTCAGGTTAGTCTCATCAATACAGAAGTTAGTGTTCTCCTTAAATAACACATGTCTGTGTGTACTAGAGGTCAGGTTAGTCTCATCAATACAGAATTAGTGTTCTCCTTGAGTAACACATGTCTGTGTGTAACAGAGGTCAGACGAGTCTCATCAATACAGAATTTAGTGTTCTCCTTGAGTAACATAGTTTTTTATTGACGAAAGTATAATACAAAAATAACGTCATACTTGTATAAGTATTCCTTGATGTTTGTAAGTCGACACGTTCTACTGCACTGTTAACAAACAAAATATCGCATCCTATCAGAGAGCGCTAGAAACAAAACGATTATCCACTCAGCCTGATAATATTATTGATAGTGTAGGATGTAGCGGTCTATTTGCTTATACAGATCGTATAAATATTCAATAGAGGAGATAACCTGAGGACAATATCTCATTATATATATATATATATTTAGTTAACATAGGTGTTAAGGTCCATAGCAAAGTATATATACAATGGAACTAATTTGTCATACTTCAAAACCTTTCTGATAAAAATAAATAAAACAATCAACATTGATTATATGTACTTAAAATGGAGGGCTTTGAAAACTTTATTTTGCTTGAGTCAGTCATTGTGAGTTATCGCCCTTAGCACATCATATTTCATCAATATTCACGATGTGTGCGTTTTTATTGACTACCAGGGATTGCATGTGAAGAGATATGCATATTCAGTCATGTTTATTTTGCATTTAGTTTAAAACACATTTTATTTTCAAAGCAACGAATGCCTTAACAAATTACAAAATTAATTGTGCATGTACGTTTTTATTTCTAACTAACTCGAACCACATGTACATATATCATATAGTAAGATAATGGTGCGGTTATACCCTGAACAGGCCTTGGTACGTAACACTGTATCTTAATATAGTAAGTATGAGCTATATATAACAAGACTAGGACATAATGGACCATTGTTATAATGATATATGTTACAATACCCTGTTATATTCCATATTTATATATTTTCCCTTGTGTTAACGTATTGGCTATTTGATTCTATTTCATGAATTGGCTTAGCCTAGATACCACGGCTTGGACGTACCATGGTGACAGGGGACGGGACATGTATGATTAAATATCCATATGTATATGCCAATGCAACAACCATGGCGGTGCAGCAGTGTAAATGGAGCTAATATCATCAATAATTCATCAATAATATTTCCCTTGGTAACGATAGCGACGTTGTATCAACGTCTGTGCATGCGTTATGGTCCCTTGTCAGATTTCATCCATGGTGTGTGTGTCTAGCTATAAAGATCAAGGTCAGTATAGATTAGTTGGGAGAGCACATCCCAGTTTGATATAAAAGGGTCTGTGAGCGAGGACTGTTTGCTTCCCTTTACATAGTTAACACGTTTATATTGATCTTGGTCACAGTTTCTAGTAAAACCGGAAATTATTCTTGTTAATATGCCCTTGATAGCAAGAAAATATTTCCAACCAATACGTCATATATTTTGGTTTCTTTGTGAGTAAACCTCAATGGAAAGTCAGTAATTGTTTACAACGCCGTTTTCATTAGTGTTGGGTTCACACAGAAACATGTCCTCACAAATATATATAGCCATAAACATCGCTAACAGGATCGGCAGAGGAAGCAGGTCACAATAATAACGTTACTGAACACTCTAGAAACAAAACAAAAAAACACATTTTCTGTGTTTGCAGTAAGGTGCGCATCCGAAAGGTCCCAGACGTGCTGATCTGTATCGGGTTCACGTGCTGTTCCTGAAAATTCCCTTCGATTCGCGAAATTATCTGGCAACGAGATGGAGGTCGTCGCGATTGTGGGCGGTAGGGAGGGTCGAAAAAACAAACTTTTGGAGTCATCTAAAAAACGATCTATTGACCTGAAAACAACCTCGTGAAATAAGCAAAAATGGCAATATGACTGGGAAAAAATTGACATCGAAATGACGTGTGTTTAGGAGGAAACTGAGGGCATGTCCGCTGAACGAGGTTACGTTCTATCCGGATATAGATTTGTGAAAGAAAAATTATCTATCTTTTCAATGGTACCAAGCCTTTTTGTACATCCGCTAGACATGTGATGTTTGTGAGAGGAAGTTAGGTAGGGTTGCTCTTTTCCTTCTTTCTCGTGTATACCCTCATTGCGGATAGCATTGTTTACAGAAAGTCGGTCTTAACTCCCAAAACGTCTAATATTACACTGAGCACATCAGTTTAAGTCAAAACATAGTTGACATGTAACAAATTATGAAGTCCTTGTCTAATATTACACTGAGCACATCAGTTTAAGTCAAAACATAGTTGACATGTAACAAATTATGAAGTCCTTGTGATTCTGTCAATCCAAAACCTCACTGACACGTTAATATTGCTCCAGTGATCATTTCTCTCTAAAGCTTCATTTGTTGGAATCTGCCTCATACCAAATTGGATTTTTTTTAAATGTGTACACAAATAAAAACAAATCTGCGATGATTTCCTGCCATGACAATGTCGCCGGTCCCTTGTCAGTAGAGTTGTTTTACCGTACCAGTCTCCACAGAAACAATGGAGCGAGCCTGACGGTTTCAGCTCCAATGCACAAGTGGTAAACTCCGATGTTTCCAAATACATCGATCACATACTCTGAAAACTGGCGCATGCGTGTAACAGGCATTATATCGATCGATTTTTTCTCAGAAGCAGTGTTGCTCTTCGGTACCGTGTATGTCTTGTTTTGATGTCAGTTGAAACCAGGTTCTACGTAGGAACGGTAGACCTTTGTGTGTGGATCCAGAGGTAAACGAGACAAGGATCGCTGCTTTGGAACTAAAACCAAAATGTGAAGAACATTCAGATATTAATTATTTGTATAGTCAAAACTTTCGGATTTTTATTGGATTTTTTTCGTTTTTTCAATTTATCCAGAAGTGACTAAAAATGGTGGAGAGAAAACACATGATACGACAGGCAGCCGTTGACGGAAGCAGTAAGTATTCTGGTTTGTTGTGACATATAGTTCGACAGGGATACTTATCATCGTCACGTCTATAACTGAATCAATGTTCACTCTTACACATTTTACTCTAGTTTCAATTCTACTCACGATTATGAAGAAAATTATATTTTATATTACGAGTTCTCCCAAGATACAATAGTTTTTTCACTCTATCAAAAAGTCGTATACATGACTGCTGTTATTGACTTTAAACAGCTGTATATGTTATATAAATATTCGGTCGTAAACTGGTGATTTAGGTGTAGTGGGGAGCCTACCCGGTATACATTTATTGGATGGCGTATTGCCTGTAGTGTAGCTACAGTAAGGTTCTCTGTATATACCGTATGCCTAATATATTCTTGTTTCGTTGTAATAATATTTCAACGCTTTTTGCCAAATAATGTAAAAGAACAAAAACATTAAAGCAGCTAAATATTTTGTTTCTTTGTATTATATTGACAGTTGTAACGCAAAAATATGACGTGGAAAGTTATTTAGAATATGACGGTAATTGCAATAAACGACAGTATATGTCATGACACGAATCATTGTCCTACGGTTGTTATGTACAGGTTATGCTTGTTCATTATGAATACAAAATAAACGTTGTCGTTCCCTCCTTACATATGGTTATGTATTTAATGCAAATAACCACGAAAGTTCGCTGAATTATTCATCCGTATCAGATGGTCAGCCATGAATTAATTACGAAATTGATTTTTTCCATTCATGTTTTTGTCGGAAGTTAGCGCAGCAATACCATGTGTACATCATGTATTTGATATATATTTAAAATTTACATTTCTACATTAAAGTTGTATTTGTATTTCATATTTAACACCTTTACTTGTCCCCTTGTACATATAATTGTGTTCTACCCTAAGTTAGGTCAAACTTGATCATAACAATCGTTTATATTTTCAATTAAGTCACCTCTTTGGATAAATAATTTAGTAAAGAAGAGTCTTCTGTATCATACCACAAAAAATACCTCACAGCTGTTGTTGATGGGAGCAGAAAATCAAGTCATTTCTATGTGGTTCCATCGAATCAAGCTCATTTAACCCATCGGGACTATCCCGCCATTTTGTATATTACTATCGGGACAATGTCAATTATCTTTAGATTTTCCTATCCTGTATTTAACCATTGTGTTTGAAAGTTCCAACAATGTTCTCATAACATTAGTCAAAGTCCTGTAGCCAGTCGGTTTGTTATCTACGAGCGAGCGATGAGAACAGTGGTGCAACGACAAACGCTGATGGCACTGTGTGACAAACAGCTTATCATTTATTTATTAAATATCGACAATCACTACGCTATCATATGCCCATCTAGTTTTGCAAGGAAAATATGGGTCATTTAGATACAAGCATAATGAAGGTAATTTAAAAAATCGATTGAGGTCGGTCGGGGGAGGGTCGAAAAAACAATCTATTGACCTGAGAACAAACTGTATGGGGTTCCCTAAACAATCGATGGAGGGATGGGGGTCGAAGAAAACACTGTAAGAGGTCATCTAAAAATAGATATTCTTGTCATCAGCTGCTCCCTACTCATATATTTTATCGCTTAAAATGGTGTTGCTTACCTCTAAATATTTGTTATAAAACGAATCTTTGCAGCTTACAGCTACACTTAATATTTCCCTGGGCAGAGCTTTTAATTGGGCATTGGTGACTGCTCCATGCATATTGGCAGTTAACAAGTGCAGACATCCCAATTAAAAACAAATCATAAAGGGAAAGAATGTGTTCAACGTTGACCACTCATAACAATGCATTTAATATAATTCCGGTATTATACAGATATTCAGATACAACGAAGTACAGAGATTTGTTTTTTAAACTCTTTGTATCAAGTTGTTTTACTTGGCATTTAAACGTCAGGACTGATGTGAGTGGGTATTTATAAACCTATGAGATCATTAACATTTGTTGGGTATTTTTGTAATATATTTTTCCGGTGTGGTAATTTTTAGTGTGTGTATCCTCGAAGAAAATTAGATCATGGTAAAACCATTTGATTAAGAAGATTAATTCCAGTTTTGATTGGTCTTTCTCTCTTGGTCACATGACAACACAGCGTCCATTGTAAGGTTTCACAATATGCTGCGTTTCATGGTTTCAACAAATTTTAATCAATTTAAAACAAACGTGATGTACTTTGTAAGCATCCTCCGACAGGATGCCTTTGCAAAGTTTGTATTTAATGTTTGTATGGAATATCGTTAGAAAACAGCGCTGAAATACGAAGCTTCTTTAAAAAACGTGAGGCTTCCGTGAAAAGAATCCAATCATATAAAGCACATTTCAAACTGTACCTAGCCCCACTACTGTAACAGGTTTGTGTCTACTCAGGTTCTATAGGAGACTACAAGTTTGTGTCAACTCATCTATTGGGGACATTCAATATTGGAATACTCTTGGGTTTTTTTTATTAATAAAGATAAAACAGTCATTATATTTCACTCACTCACGCGTGGACGCTGTATGGATCAGATAATTCAATATACATGTACTTGTTACGGTCAATAACTTGTCACCAAATCGGTTGTAATTACCACAAATCCGCCATATTAACGTCAGGGGCGATAACCCTGGTTTATTATTGATTACTAATTCAACTTCTATATTGTACTAAAATACATGCTCTGCTAGGTATTACTTATTATTGATTTCTGTTATCAATAATCTACGAGAGTTACACACAAGTTAAAGCTGTAATTAGTATATCTTGTGTATACATATCTGGCTCCGTGTTAAGGGACAGACTTACAGAATTGACTCCACGCGGTTGACAATGGTATAACTACATGTATACATTGATTATCTTAGATGTACATTTCAATAAATAGAAATATCGATGAGGTCTGTGAACTGTTCATCAATTGAGGACAATATTGATTATACCGATATTGGATAAGGTTACAGAGAGCTTAGGTGCTGTAGTTCAATGCACACAAGTAATGTATATGAATACATTCGGTTTGAATTAATAAGGGTTTTTTCGCCCCGTTTTCAATAAAAAAAACAACTCAATATCGCTTTCTACTTATTCTCTTTTAAAATCAAAGGGATGCCATTTTTTGGCATTACCATAAGTAATGTGTATTACAGTTAGCCAGGCCCTGCCTTCTCATACACAAGTCTTCTATAGAAAAACCTAACGAATTCCTCCCCATCTATTCTAATAAATATTTCATCGATTTATATCAGTGTCCCCAATGTACATGTACACATTGTTATAACCAACTGTTCTACACCCTGATGTGACGAGAAGTGTGGTACTTGTATCGCAAGATTATAAAACCGAGCCATTTATACGCTTCAATCAAACATTATGCTTCGTGGGATTTCAATATTCAACAGTATCATACTGACTAATGAATTCAGGCAACGCACGTAGTTATTGAGAATGGTTGAATATTTCATATTTATTTAAAGCTCTCTTTTGGAAACTGTAAGTCACACTTTGTAGCAACTGACATTATGACCGTCAGCAGAATACAACACGTTGTAGATGCGGTTGATATGACAGCAATCGATTGTAGTTCCAACAGTAAGACAACATGGACTGTAGGTCTTAGGTTCATGGCCTTGAGTTTAGTCACCTAAGACAGACATGCGTCATTACACCATCTCGTGGAAGGGAGTGTCCCTGGTTATTATTAGTCTGTACGGCGCTGTTGGAGACCGAAAATTAATTAAACCTCGTCACAGTTATGCGTGGATTTACGTCGTGTATGTAGGCGGTTCAAACCACTGACACACAAACAGGTATAAAGATATATTTAACACAAAACGTGCTTTTATATGTATACAAATGTCACAGAATTATATTTTTGTAATTGCGACACGATTTATGACGTCACAAATGGATATAACATAATCTCAGTGCCGACCTCTTTTATCATTGTAATTCTTTAAAATGATGTAATAGCTCAATAAGAATACTAACCGTGCAGATCTACAGCCTTCAACACGGTAGAAATGTGATACCACATTCAATGATGACATTGCACAAAATAGAATTGCCAATACCATAATAGACATTTTTATATTGGATATTGGCAAACGCCTTTGACAAAGTCCAAAATGAAATAACTACGATGAAACCTTGAATACAAAATGAAGGATAACAAATGTATTTAATACTGTATCCAAACAGCTTACAAATACATCAACTTCTACACAAACAAATACATCAACTTCCACACTAACAAATACATCAACTTCCCCACAAACAAATACATCAACTTCTACACAAACAAATTCATCAACTTCTACACTAACAAATACACCAACTTCCACACAAACAAATACATCGACTTCTACACAAACAAATACATCAACCAATACCATAATAGACATTTTTATATTGGATATTGGCAAACGCCTTTGACAAAGTCCAAAATGAAATAACTACGATGAAACCTTGAATACAAAATGAAGGATAACAAATGTATTTAATATTGTATCCAAACAGCTTACAAATACATCAACTTCTACGCAAACAAATACATCAACTTCCACACTGACAAATACATCAACTGCCACACAAACAAATACATCAACTTCCAGACAAACAAATATATCAACTTCTACACAAACAAATCCATCAACTTCCACACAAACAAATATATCACCTTCTACACAAACAAATACATCAACCAATACCATAATAGACATTTTTATATTGGATATTGGCAAACGCCTTTGACAAAGTCCAAAATGAAATAACTACGATGAAACCTTGAATACAAAATAAAGGATAACAAATGTATTTAATACTGTATCCAAACAGCTTACAAATACATCAACTTCTACGCAAACAAATACATCAACTTCCACACTAACAAACACATCAACTTCCACACAAACAAATACAACAACTTCTACACAAACAAATACATCGACTTCTACACAAACAAATACATCAACCAATACCATAATAGACATTTTTATATTGGATATTGGCAAACGCCT